GGTATTATCTCAATCGACCAGTTTCGTGACCTGAAAGACTTTGTTCTGACCTTTACCTGAGGTAAGTACGATAGGTTGAGCTTTCCAAAATTTCCGCACACCATTCTACGCGCGGCGGAGCATCACAAACACAATAGTGAGGTGCCAGATAAGTGCCAGATACCGAAATGACGGTGCTGCGACCATTTGTAGGATTCATTGACCGAAAATTGGATCCCTGCCTCAAGGCTTTTGACCTAACCTCAGAGGTCATTGGTTGACGGTAATGTTGAAACTTTACTCAGAAAACACTTTGAGAACATTTTTGAATAAAGACTCAATTGAGTGCTGAAACAAGCTTAAAATGTGTCTGATTTTAGAAACGGTTTCAGTAAAGGCCACCGCACACTATCCATTCGGCCGGTTCATTCGGTCGTTAAGGTCTAGCTACACTACGGAGAAACACTATCCAGGTAAAATAAACGCATAAATACCGGTGATTTTAGATTACATCTGAGTCATTACTCAGAAAGAGTTATAAAAGGCCTATCTAATGCGACGTTTTCGGCATCAAAGATCGGTATGCCGCCCCTATCAGATGTTACGTGCCGCCCCCATCAGATGCGAAATGCCGCCCCTGACCGTTATTGCCGACCCAGTGAAAATCCCTTAAAATACGCCCTGACACTCGTGGCCTCCTCGTTCCTTGGGCGGCCAGTCGGTTTCTGTCAATCTCGCCATCAAGATCCCGGAGCATCTCAGATTCGTCTGACCACAGCAGCCTCGCCATCGAGGGGCTGTGGTCACTCGGCGGCTACCGCATTCCTTCCCATCCTCTACCAGAATCCACTTTCTCCTCACCCTGCACCACAGCCAGTCAGCCAAATCTAGTGTCGCTGTACGCAACTACAGACCAGAGGACGGCGTGGCGACCGGAGGGGTGTTCAAACACCCCCCGGCCCGGCGCCGGATAACTGACCGGAAAATTTGAATGAATATACATGAATGACTGAATGAACATTTGACTGAAAGAACAGAAATAGCTGACCGCAAGGTAGCCTGGCAGAAAATAATAATGTTACATATCGGTCTGTGCTCATAATCTTATACAACATACACTTATTTGTTGGAAAGATGCGTGTATTTACTAGGCATTCTATAGAATGCCTGATTCCACACATTGCACATCGCTTGTGATTAACCTCTGTAGGCGGCACTTCAATGGTGCTTACGCATCGTCACTGGTGTGAGTTCGATGCCAGGCATTTTGCAAACTGCCTGGGAAAATAATTTCAGGTAGTTTGCAAAATGCCTGGTGGACCAGGCAGTTTGCAAACTGCCCAGACATTTTGCAAAATGCCTGGTGGGTCAGTCATTTTGCAAATTGCCTAGGCATTTTGCAAAATGCCTGGTTTTTCACTTTGCCTGTAACATATATACATATATATATATATCACATATTACGTTTTTGCGGAACATCAAAAACTTTTTGAAAAATAAAAAGATATGTATTTTTTGTAAGTGTTAATATATATTTTTCGAAATTTTCAAAATTTCGAAAATTCGAGATCGCAGTTTGACTACGTGTATTTGTAGTCCACTCATGGAAAGAAATTGGATCTAGCTTAAAAACTGAACTCTTGAGAGCGTTTGCCGTAATTAAATATTTTGCATTAAAATCGGTCGACATGACGTCACTCTGACGTCATTTCCGGCCAAACTATTGTAGCTAGAAAGTTGCAATTTTAACACAAGGTGTCAACTTGATGCTGCCGACGGTACCGCAAGTTTCGTGTTGATCCGTCAAACGATTTAGAAGATATTGCCGAAAAATCGGAGGGGGGCTTTGTAGAGCCCCCCCCCCCAGTCATGCGCGGGTAATGGCCCTCTCAGAACTGTTGTGGGCCCTATAATGACTGGTATGGACTGGACCCTCTCAGGCATGATACGAGCCCTCCCAGTTCATGCAAGGGCCCTCTCAGTATTGCTGCAGTCTCTTGCACGAGTGATATGGGCCCTCTCAGGTATGGTACGGGCCCTCCTAGTCATTGCAACAGTCCTCTCAGTACTGCTGGGGGCCCTTCCATGATTGATATTGATTGGCATGACCCTCAGTAATATGTCAGGGTACGAGCCCTCACATAACTTATGATGGTCCCCTCAGTACTGTTATGGGTCCTACTGTGGGCCCTCTCAGTACTGATGTGGGCCCTGTCATGACTGGTATGGGCCCTCTCCTTCTCTGGTATTATATGATAGGGGAGAACGGGGTCAATGGTAACATTTTTTGCATTTCATCATCTGGTGCAAACACGTTTGCAGTTATAAACCTCTTTCTTTTATTTTCAGAAACTATGATGTTTTGTCTTTAACCCTCGCCCGCACATGCCATTTTCCCATCCTAGAACGCACATGGGGGGGGGGGGGGTTGCCACCCCCCGCGCCATTTCGTTCCTGTTGGAGATAGAGCTTAGCGGTAAAGACCAAAAAGATTTTTTGGGAAGAGACGAATCCAATGATACCCAGTTTTACCTTCTCAAGTCAGTCATTGACCTTCCAGGCAGGGCTGCGGAGTCGATGGATTTTCGGCGACTCCGACTCCGACTCCGACTCCGGCTTTCAAAAACCAGCTCCGACTCCGACTCCGGGCAGAATTGTCGACTCCGACCGACTCCAACTCCCGACTCCGACTCCGCAGACCTAGCAGGGCTGCGGAGTCGACAGATTTTCGGTGACTCCGACTCCGACTCCGGCTCGGGTTTCTAAAATCGACTCCGACTCCGACTCCGACTCCGGTCACAACTGTCGACTCCGACCGACTCCGACTCCGACTCCGACTCCGACTCCGCAGCCCTGCTTCCAGGTCAGGTCAAACTAAAAAATGTTGCTGTTTTGGGTCACCGTTGGATATCAAGTGCGCTGCTTATCATATACCGATGACGATGCTGTTTTCTGGTGCAAGCCAGCTAGAACCTCTTTGTCACACTACCCGACCAGATTTTTGCTGCTGAGGTCATTTCAGGTCAAGTTAGGTCAAGGTCAATTATATGTGTTTGTATGTCTGTGTGTGTCTGTGTGTATACTGATGTGTGCACCGATTGTTTTTGTGTCCATATTACATGAAATCATGATCTGAGAAGCTTTCACCAAAAATGCAGTCAAAAAAACTTCCCAAAAAGTAAATTCAGCTTGCCTATCTTAGATGACCTAGGTTGACCTTGACCCTGACCTTGACACCTGTACATCGTCGAACAACATGTTCCATGATAGGTGGGAGGTAAGACTGCCAAAAAAGGCCGAAATCAAGGCTTCAAAAGCTCACAAGGCCCATGGCAAACGCAAGATGTTGAGAATTGGCTATTTGGGTCATGACATGACCTGAAAAACAAGGTCATATCTCCGAAACCAATAATCACAGAAACTTGAAATTTTCAGTGGACATCAAGAAAGGATAGAGGAGCAGCTATACGAAAAATCAGCCTTCTAGCTCTAAAAATGTTGAGTGCAGAGCAAAAAGACTACCTGGGGGGGGGGTGGCAACCACCCCCCCCATGTGCGGGCGAGGGTTAAAATGCAGTCAAAACATTTCCGAAATAACATCTTTTTCGGGTCAAAGTTGTTGTCCGAAAAAGTCAGTTCAGCTGTTACAATTCACCCCAGATGCGGGGTCAAAAGCAACACCACCCGGGGTAATTGTAACATGCTAACTTGCAGGCTACAGCAACACAATTTCTTTCCAAAACTTTGATTTAACAAAAGTATTGAACACTTGTTCATCTTCCAAGACTTGGTAGGTACGGTTCTTCTCAGGAAAAAGGCTTAAAACCTCGCACTTTTACAGGGGTTGGATGGACCTCTTCTCCCTCGGTTTTTCGCAAATAAATCGCGTAAAAAGCTGCCGATTGAGACAAAATCTACAGTTCTCTTATTTCTAGCAATGTTTCATCTCCCTTGAAAATTTGACGACCTTGACCTAATGGCAACTGACCTATAACCTGTTACATTTGACCCCTGCAAAAATGTTACAATTGTACCCGTCGCGGCTATTAGACGAAACTGGCACAAAAAGATGATGCATGTACAGCATTTAATGCCTTCAATTTATGGACAACAAACCTGTCAACGCTTACACAAAGTCTGAAGTCGATAGTTTTCCAATGGCGGGAATGAGCTAATCAAATATATCGGCATAAAATTTACAAAATGCCCTCAAAAACACATTACTGTGCACAGCCATCGACATACCCGGCACTTTCGCTTCAAACTCCGTTGGGAATGGCAGCATAGAATTACGCATTTTCGGTCTTAACGTCAGCTCATTCTATTGGTAAGTTTATGAATTATTAACACTGTTATAATTGCCCCGTGTTACATTTGACCCCGCTCTCCCCTACCTTCCAGACCTTGCCTGGGCCCTTTCATATATTGAATGGGCCCTCTCAGACGTTGCATAGGCCCTCTTTAGCCGGGCCCTTTCTACAGCCTGGGAAGATATGTCAGGGCCACAATCACCCACGATAAAAAGGATTTTGTTTCACCCTTTTTGCTAAATTAGGCCCTTTTTCAAAAACATGGGCCAAAACTCGTAAGATTTCATCTTGGCGGCGGCACCTTGAGAAGGTCCACTTTGGCTTGCTTCCCCACCCCTGAAGTCATTTCTACAGCTCTGCCCAGAAGGCTTCTTTCTGCACAGCCAGAGAGCATTCCGTACATATCCTGACCTGCTGGCTGAAAGAGTGCCCCAGTGTTGAGAATTGCGGCGGTGGGGCAGCTGCCCCCCTGCCCCCCTTGTGGCGCCGTCCCTGTTTCGGAAGATACATAGACAGTTATCTCAGCGCTGCGCGACATAAGAGGAGTTACTAAAACATACGATTTTACACACACACAAACATAACACAACACACACACACACACACACACACACACATCCACACCCACACCCACACACGCACACGCACACGCACACGCACACGCACACACACACACACACACACACACACACACACACACACACACACACACCAAACCCTGATCGCTTGTATTACCGAGCGTCACGTGTGCTACAGCCAGGTGAGAGCCAGGTGAGAGCCGTGTGCTACACTGCAGCCAGGTGAGAGCCGTGTGCTACACTGCAGCCAGGTAAGAGCCGTGTGCCACACTGCAGCCAGGTGAGAGCCGTGTGCCACACTGCAGCCAGGTGAGAGCCGACCCATTGGCGATGCTATCTCTCACACCGTTTCTGGCAAATCCCTACCGCAGTGATACGATTCAGCCAACGCTTTGTCAGCACATTTCAATTCCAAGCCAAGGTACAACAGGAGCCATTCGGTGAGTTACCGTGCGAGCACGTCTCGTCGCCAGTCAGTAGTAGCGCGAGGGCGCGCCGGTGCGCGGCAGGTTATCGCCGCTCGGGTGGCGAACCCTCAGCTCGGCCTCATCGTCGCTGTCGATGTCCGAGTGGGTCAGCGGGCCGCCGTCGGCCGAGCCGGACCGGCGCGCGTCCGCCGCCGCCGCCGGGCCGGCGCCGACCGCGCCCGACTCGGACACGGTGCGCTCGGCGCTGATGCCGAACGCCGAGCTCTCGAGCACCTGCAGCTCGGCGGCCTCCTCGTGGTGCGACTGGTGCTGATCGCACTGGGCGCTGTGCTCGTGCACGTCCACGTGCACCTCGGCTGTACTGGTGCGTAGCGAGAGTCTCGGGTCCGAGTCGCATCGCAGCATCACACGCGATGTAAGGCTCTGTGTCTTACCGGTGGCCGCCGACGGCGCGGCGGCCGGCGCTCGGAGCGCGGTCGGCACGCTAGCCACGGTGCGCGGCGCACCTCGGCGTCCGTGGTCCTCGTCAGTGGGCGGCGCACCGCGGCGTCCGTGGTCCTCGTCAGTGGGCGGCAGCTCCGACAGCGCGTCGTCTTCCTCGCCGGCGGCCGGCAGCGGCTGTCGCCGGCGCCGCGCCGTCGGCACGAGCTCCTCGTCGGGCTGTCCGAGGTCCTCCGAGACCAGCACCGAACCGTCGTCGGAGCCGGCCGGCGACGCGCAGAGCTGCTGCAGCCGGCCGAACGCCGAGTGCTCGTGCAGCACAGACTCCACCTGGCGCTGCGTCTTGTGCCGGTACTCGGGCAGCACCTTGACGTCCGGCTGCGTGACCGACAAAAAGCTGTGCCGGCCGTGCAGCTGGCCCGGGTCCATGCACTCGGGCAGAGCGGCCGGCATCGAATGACGCTGGCTCCGAGCTGCGCCACTGCTCTCCGCCGTGGTCGAGATGGCAGGCATTGAAGCGCGGTTCTTAAAGAATTGCTTCATGTGCGACACGGGAGGCGCGTGGCTGTGGCCCTTGTGGCCGCCGCCGTCCTCACTGTGCTTCACCGAAATGGCGGCCAGCCCCCCGGCCGCCACGGTTTGGCTCAGGTGCAGTTCATCGTCACCGAACCTGGGTCGGAACGTGTCCTGCTCCCCCTCAGTGCCCTCTAACTGGTCATCAGGCAGTGTCTCGTCCAGCATTGCTGAGCTCACCGATTCAAATTCGTCACTGTCCTCGTCAGCGCTCATTTTCTCCGGCCCAGTCTGACTGTTCGTTGTCTTGATCGCCTCTTGCATCAGCTCCTGAGCCTGTTTCAGTGTCATTGCAACAATGCTTGACATCTGCCGAGAGATGCTTCGTATGAAGCGGTCTTTTTGCGCGCCAACAACGTGGGGAACCAGGTCGGATATTGACTCTACTACACGGGCCAAGTGCTGATTTCTCTCGCTTTCTATTGCCTTCCAATCAGCAAGCCTCGTGTATACACGGTCTTTGAGCCTTTCGCTGCTATTTTCACTGAGCATAACTCTTTTGATGTCTTCCAAAAGCTTGCGCTCATGCTTTACTCCCTCTTGTTTGAGCCGCCTCCTTAGTCGCTTTTCTGAGTCTTTCCTGATTTCTTTCACCAGTTCTCGAGCCTTTTTCTTGGCTTCTATGATGGCGCTTTCGGCTTCAATGCGTTCAAGGCGCTCTCTCGACTTCCTCTGAACTCTCTCAGCGTCTGGGATGGGTGTGGGAGGCCGGTCCAGCACTGGCTTCAAGTCTGCCACGGCCAGGCCGCCCTCCAGCGGACGTCGGAGCACAGTGCTCTTGTCGCTGAAGGAGACGTGCTCGTCACTATACGGCTCAATCGTAAGCACTCCCACGCTGATGTGGCGGGGCACGGCAACCAGTGGGTCTGGGTTGCCAATCCCCAGCTGACTGAGGTTCACTTGACTGCCGGCGGTCAGGTATGCGTGGACATTCCTGGCCTGTCCTATGGCGCCATCCACCAGCCGTACCGCCAGCGACGCGACGCTGTCGCGACTGGGACGCTCCGTCGACCAGGTCAAGCCGAACCGGTCGGCCGCGACTGGCTTCGAGGTCACTTTCAGGATTCGACGGGTTGCTGCCGCGGAGGCAGCACACATCGCTATGTGTCGGACGATCTGCGCCGGATTCATCATTTTTACAAGATCTGCGGCTTCTTTGTAGAAAATTTCCTCTGTCACTGACCTACTCTGAAGGTCATGAATCATTTTCTTCATTTGTACATGCGGGCTGTACTGTTCATACATGGGTTTTTGACTCACCAAAATAGATTCTGGAGTGAGATCCAAAAAGCCTAATATTTCAGCAACATTTCTTTCCCCTAAAGCACGAAACAGTCTGTCTTGCCTATTCAACAGGTCCAATAGAAGAGTCTCCAGTGGATCACTCTCTGCACCAGCTGCGGCAGGCTGCAAATAATATCCTTCATTAAAGGCCTTAATAACGTTACCTCCTAGACCGCTTTTCAAAGCATTTAAAATATCTGCTGATTGCCCCAAAGTTTTCAAAATAGCAGCATCTCGCTGCGTAGCTCGTTTCGTGGATTCTTGGTTCATATTTTCTTCATTTCGTTTTTCGTCCCCATCGGGTATCTTCGTCTTTATATGCTCTTTACTCTGATATTGCTTGCCTTGCCCTGGCTTCTTGCGCTCATTTCTCCGAAGTTCATCGATTATCCTTTGCTTATTTATTGCGTCATGTTCTCGTAAACTTTTCTTTTGTTGAGACTGGCCTCGCTCACTTGTCAATCCACTGCTACTTGGTCCTTTCCCTGGGACCACTTTACCTGTTACAGTCTGATGAACTGATTGTGAATATCGCTTGGATAGGCCATCTCGAGAATATGCACTACCTTTACGGCTCTGTGCACCTTCCTTAGATGATCCTGGATCGTTTTTCGACATATTTCCCCAAATTTCGTCACTGCTTTGAGAAGTGGTTTCGTATATTCTCCCTGGCAAATGATGACTACTGCTTCTGCCGGCTCCTGACCCACGCCTTAGTGGTGAAACTTCCGCTTTAGATGATGCAGCGCCTAGAGAAGTTCTGCTTCTTCCAACTTTTGTAACTGGAGATGCAGATTTGCTTCGTCCGTATATTGTTGATAGTATCTTATTGATCAGAGCTTCCTTTGTCTGTGCCCATTGCTCGTCGCTACAAATTATGCGGCCGTCCGATAGCAATATGCCAGATCTCACTAGTTTCTTAAAGTTTTCTGAAAATTTCAGGTAATCACGCAAATCACGGTCATGCAGGGCATTTTTCCTGCGATAATCAACAGGCGATGTTATAAACTCTGATCTGTCTTTTTTGAAAGCAGCCGTATTATTATCGACGATAGGATCGGATCTTTTAGCTGTCATTCCACCATTCCGCTACCATAGAACAGAAGAAGACAAGCGGAGCAGCCTTTCATATAAATAGACATGAAATAGTTCATAATACGATAAGCAAGAGTTTAACCACAAAGCATAAGCAGCGTCTAAAATATGCCGAGCTGCGCTTCAATTGAATCGAACCAGCTTGTCATTAAACGGTCAACACGCGCTTTAAATGAATAGTTACCTTTGATTGCATGAAACCAGAATTGAATTAAATCAATCATCAAGGATGAGTTAAGGCTTTCGTTAATTAAAAGAGATTAAGATACATCTCCTCCGATCATATTGTATTGGGCCCTGTACTCAATGTGCACACGTTGACCTTCGCCAGTATTATTGTTTTGCCAGAGTCCAACGTGAAGGGAAGGGGAAGGGGGTCCGTTGGAGCCCTCTTGCCGTTCGACCCCTGATCGAGCTGGAGCTTCGCGAAAAAAGAGCGTGTTAGCCGCGACAGAGAAAGCTGATACTACCTTATTCTAAGGTCCCAGGACATTGTTTGACCGCCCAGGTCAGGCCAATGACCCAAAATCAGGAAAACGGGAGCCGTAACGAACTACGTAAAGGGAGGTTGTTATGGGCTTTTCGAGGTGCCGGGTCAGGTCAGGTCAGGTCAACCAGTAGGCGTCCTGCCGGCTATCCATATTAGGTGTCAACCACCACTGACAGCTTCATTAAATGTTACAAATGAGCCTAAACTACTTCGTTAATGTTCAAATGGGTGCTAAAATCGAAATCAGCTCCAAAGACTATCCCAGGAAAATGTAAATCTCGTATGTAAATCTCCAAGAACATCAAAAGTCAATGACCTTGACCTGACCTTCACGTGACCTTGACACTCACCGTATTGTATGGGATCAATATCGTATCATATGTTTGAACTTTGAAGCCAAAAAAAAGACCGGAGACGGGCGAATAATGTGAGCCGACATAAGCCGAATCGCAATGCTGGCTGACCATCGTCTCGAGAAAAGGGTTTCAGGTCAAAAGTCATTCGGGTCAGAGTCATGGAATTTTCAGGGTATATGTAAAACTGATTACCTGGTACTGGTACTGAAAGTTTTGTCGCAATCAGCCGCTTTTTGCACATGTTATTCGCGAAAAGCCGAGGGGGGTCCGTTCGCCCCCCCCCCCTATAAGTGCTAAGGCTAGGTTTTTAAAATAATCCATTATGTGATTTCCGTGTTCAAAACTCGTGTGTAGGGAAAAATATAGAAAAACGCGTTAATTACTTGGCTACGGCGACCAAAAAACTTAAAAAAGAAAAGAAAAGAAAAGAAAAGAAAAGAAAAGAGTCACACAGCCTCCTTACATAGTCCTTATGACATGGTCCGTAGGAAGTTAGCTCTTCATTTCATGTCCTCGAAAAGTCATCACATGACCCATCCTACTAACCAATCCCTGGGCCTCTGGGATTCCTCACATATTCCTCTTAGGCCCTAGCGCAGGCCTGCCGCGCCCACCCGGCGCCGAGCACTGCGGCCTTTGGCGCACCGGGAGCCGGTGCGCGCGGGTGGCCGGCGGCACAGTATACCCATCCAGGCTGGCCAGACACTGCCATCTAGCGACAACAGAGCAACCTAGTGCCACACAGCGAGCGGCGGTGGCACAAAGCCTTCTACGCTTCGAGCCCAGTAAGGCTGTGATCGGTCAGTCCCCCCCAGGCCAGCAGTGTGAATAAAGGCTGTTGGCATTCCGCCAGTGACTGATAGCTGAGCTTGGCCTAGATCTTGTGGTTGGTACTTATCCCGCGCCCTGCTGGGCTATTCAGGGGGGGGGGGGGCAGATTCTGACCCCTGTCTAACTACCGAACCGATGGTCGTAGAAAGACGGGGAGAACGGCAATCGAAAGCTCTCAACAACGCGGATCTTAAGAGCCAATTTTGTTTTGCTTAAGTAGCTCAAAAGTCAGGTCAAGGTCAGGTCAAGGGTACAAAATGCAAGTTTCTACAGTATCGACCTTGCACCGTAGTTGCCGAAGAATGGACTGAGACTGATTGCCCAAAATGTGTTCTTAGGCTACCAAGACAATATTCGTTGCATACCATATCATGCAAAGGTCAAGGTCAAGGTCAGGTCAGGTCACCAAAGACGAAATATAGAAAAGGGCATGTGCGACAAATGTTTTGTGGATCATTTTATTCATAGAATTCAATAGGCACACTCAATAAGTGATATGGACCACATCTGGATGAATTTCAGTCTGAGGTCAGGTCAAAGTCAGGTCAAGTGAGATCAAATTTTGAAGTTCGTTGTTAAGACCTAAAAAGGTGTCTATCTGATGCAGTTTTTCACGGCGAATCGAATGGTGCTATTTTGGTTTCCGTACGATGTCTAGTACCTAAAAAAATCATTTTTTTCAACAATTTTGTGTGTCGTGACGTCATAAAATTTTGAATAACTTCCCGATTTTTGAACCGATGCTGGCTAAAAATTGGTATGTAGGTGCACATAGACCACTTCTCTGACTTATATTCCGTTTTTTTCGATACACTCAAAATTTTGGATTTTATAATTATTTTCGCAAAAAAGTCAGTTTTTGAAGAAAAAAAAAATGGGTCGAAATCCTAAATTAAATATAAACACGAGATAGCTATTAGATAGACACAGTAGAATCACGAATAACCTTTTTTGTTACGTTTTGATTCCTTTAAAAATGAAGATGTTAGCGGCGTGTGAAGTTTTGCCGTTTTTGAGGCGAAAATGGCGTGACATGACGTCACTTAAACGTCATTTTCTCAAAAATTTCCGACGTATTTCGCTCAAATTTTCAGGTAACGTGTTACATTGATGTATGATAAGGTACTGAAAGTTTGACGTCACTGGCGTAACGCGTTTAGAACTTCTGGGGAAAAAGGGGAGGGGGGAAGACTCTGCCCCCCAGCGGGGCGTGGACTACGATCTTGTCCAATTTATTTCCCGCAAGAGGAAGACAAATTATGTAAAACATATGGCGTGAAATTCCCCACGTAATCGGCGGCGAATTCTAATAAATGTGAAAACTGACAGCGCTTTTAGAACCCGGCTGACAAAAGATCGCAAGACAAAAGATCGTATGGAAAAAGATCGTAGGAAGATGATCGTAAGATAAAGATCGTATGTTGTAAAAGATCGTACGACAAAATATCGTAAGCAAAAGATCGTAAAGCAATGGATCGTATGAAAAGATCAAATGATCAAGATGAAGATCGTATGTTGCAAAAGATCGTACGACTGAAGATCGTAAGCAAAGGATCGCAAAGCAAATGATCGTATGTATGAAAAATCTAGGATCGTAGGAAAATGATCGTATGTATGAAAAATCTAGGATCGTAGGAAAATGATCGTTATATAAATATCGTACGTCGCAAAAGCCCGTACGACCAAAGATCGCAAGCAGAAGATCGTACAGCAATGGATCGTAAGAAAAAATATCGTAGGAAGATGATCGCAAGATAAAGATCGTATGTTGTAAAATATCGTACGACAAAAGATCGTAAAGTTAAATTTGTAAAGTAAATAAGCATATAGAAAAGTGTTGTAGGTAAATGCTTGTAGGATGAAGACCGTTAGTCGCAAAATATTTTACGAAAAACCGTCAAGGGCATGTGCTGCTGTGACCTGTGGGGAGCCCCTGTTGGGGTACTCAAGTCTTATTGGAGGTGCTCAATCTAGCATTGGGGGGTGCTGAGACACTCCCAATGAGGCAATGGCATACAAATTCACCCATGCTTAGGTCACCTCATATAAAAAATCCGAAATATAAAAACTAGGAATATTTATGACGTCATGTTATCCAACAACTTTGAAAATTCTCATGCCCACAATCATATCAAGGAATTTACAATCATGAGTGTGACTACCATGGGCTTCGATGCTATAGCATGGGTGTGGATTTAAAAAAAACATTGGGGGTCAGATGCATAGGTGTGCCCCTCACGGCTGGGTGTGCCCCCTATGCCAAAGAAGGCCCACACATTTCACATGTTACCAATAATATCGTACTATTTTTAGTGGGTTATTCTTAATACATCGAAGGCATCGACAAATCAATAGCGATCCTGTACATAGAGCTTGTTTCAAGATTTGCATTTTGCAACTGTGGTTGCTGGATATCGACAACATTTTAGGAGCCAAAGGTGGCGGCAGCATTTTCAGGTTGCCGCAACCTATTGCTTTCCAGTCCCATCCCCCTCCCCTACCGGGCGCCGCGAGTGGAATTGCGAGGGACACGACAGGTCTAACAGAGGCACCACAGACCTGGCAACGGCACCATCAGCCTCACAGGGGCAACTTAGGCCTGTCAGGTGCACCACGTGCCAGTCGGGGGCTCTTCAGGTTTGTCAGGGGCACCACAGTCCTGTCAGAGCCCAAGGACACCACCGCACAGTGATGGAAATGGGGTTCACGAGTGGCCATAAATACCGAAAAGGCCCAAATTTCAAGTTCACCTAATCGAATAAATCGTAATATGGCCAGTCTGGCAAATGTTTGGGGTGTCTGAAAAAACATGATTTTCATGTTTTGTCAAAACCGGCCTCGTGTATGATTGTCAGAAGTCGTGACATTTTCTATGTCGTAAAATGACTGTCAGATACTCGCAACTTCAAACGCCGCTAGCGTGCGTTCATTTCATACAAATGGCAAAAATTATGCATGGCAATGATCCCCAAAGTCTGCTGCTTCACAGGGTCACAAAAAGCCGTATCTCTTTTGGTTTGGCGTTGATCTAACTATTTGTCATCATGTTGCAATCGCAGTTTTTTATTTAAAAATATTTGCTTTCGTTTCACCAACAGCAGTTTACACAATGTGTGCCCATTAGTGCACCATACCATAGCATTCCTTAATCATTTCTGAGCCGCACTGTGAAAGAATGAAGGCGCTAGCACAGGGCTGACCGGCGCTACTTAAGTTTTTGTCCGTTGCGGTCGGGTGCCGCGGCGCGGTGGGCGGCCCGGGCGGCCGCGCCGCGGGCGGGCGGTCACAGCGGGGGTTCGTCGGTGCATCCCTCTGCTGTTCCTAAACGAAGTGTCCTAGCGCCTCGCGACAAAAACCAACGGATTGCTCTTGACAAGATCTCGCGCGTAAGCATATTACTTTTGACTTAAGGTCAATATTTGACATACTTATAGCAGGTCAAAGTTAAA